GAAAAGGGCTTTTAGTGCTGAGAATCCGGGAGACAATTACAAAGCAATATCCAAGCAGATACTCAGTGGCTCTCACAGAGGGAATTTGGCAGCTCTCATGGAATTGATAGCTATTTAGCTCACAGATAGTCATCTGTTTTAATGCATTAATTTTGTATTAACAGCACTGCCAAATTTAATGGTAGAAATTAGGCTATGATCGTAATGGCATGGGACTGTGTGTGTATCTTTGGTGGTTCTGTTCATGTCTGTGTGAACATGTGCGATGTTCTATTTCTCTATACTTTGTACGTGTTTGTTGCAGACACGCATTATATTATCGGTTCCTTTGGGAGCCATTCTTTGAAATTACTGGCTTCTTTCTCCCTTCTACCTTTCCAGTAATACCCCCCCCCCCCAACCTTGTGTTCTCTGGAGTCTCTCAGAAACCACATTGTTTTGTGTTAAAGGTGCACTGTTACTTTGCGTTTAAGTGGCTGAAAATGCAGATGCATGCCGCACTCTGGGTGGGTGTTGAAACTGATACAGGCTAGCGTTGCCCACTCAGAGGCCAAGGTGCAGCGAAGAGTTGTGATATCGAGAGAATGGGGTGATGCCCACACCGCCACTGTCCCTCTCTACGTGAAAAAGCACTAAGCACTGCTTCAGCCTCCACATCAAGAGGTGAGGTCCTCCATCCAAGAGAGAAAGGCTTGAAACAACACAATTACTATAAAACACCGCATGTTAAAACCAAACCTTCTGAATATTCCAGCAGATTATTATTTTTTTTTTCAAAATGATTTACAAAATCTAGTTAAATGTTTTGCATGGATTTAAACCGTATTTATATCCTACATCCTCACACCTAAATCTAATTCTGTCTCTGTGTTTTGCAATCAACATGTCTTTGTGATCCTGACTGTTTAATCAGTCCACACTTAATAAAAGCCCACAGCATGTCTCCATGTTGTTCACTGTAACACTAAAATATAGGCGGTCACACACGTTAACTCGCTCAGCTGAATCTATTATATAATTGCTATAAATTTCCAGACAGTTAAGTGGTATTAAAAACATCAGGACAGATGCAGGCAGCTTCCCCCTTCTTGCTCCACAGCTCCCCTCTTGTCGGGGCCTTGACAGGGCAGCTAGAGCCCAACAGACCAGCTCCTCTGAGCCCAACATGACTTTTTCATTAAGGCACCAAATTCCTTCACTCCAGTTGGAGGTGATTTATCAACCAGACTTCATTGCAGGTTCATAGGAAACAGACACAAGTCCCGTCTCATGCATTATTATGTTTCACATTCAAAGTGCGTGTGTGGAAAAAAAATAAAAATGGAGGGATGGAGTTGGCCTGTGAGAAAACTTCATCCTTTATTTATTTGAACCTCTCAGTATGATTCTAGAAATTTCACACGTTGATAATTTTCCGGTGCCTCTGTGCGTCTTGTGGTCCGACTCCCGTCTGGAATACTGAACGAGCAGGGACTGCCTTGATTTTTATCCATATGATCGTTTCTGTTTCACAAACTCTAATGTGCCTCAGACTGCTGTGGGTCATGGCCGGCGCTGAGATGGTGAAAGTGTTGGTTTACAGGTGCAATCATTTGACATAGTAGACAGAGCTACAAGTGCTGGGGCAGGCCCATCAGAGGCCATCTCCCGGACCAGTCAGGTTTATAGTAAATTACGGTCGATTGCAGGGCAGTCAGACTCAAGCTGACTCCTATATAAACCTTGTGCTTTTTATGGGAAACTATAAAACTCCCAGGATTTTTTTTTTTTTTTTTACCTCATGAGACTAGCTTTGAAGTTTCAGTCAGGTGCTGTCATTTTTTTTTCAACTCGTCTTCTCGTAGATTTTTGGAGCCTTGAGTCATTTGCAGCGGCTCTTTTTTTTTAATTCAAGACATCTGCTGTGACTAAAAGCAATTTGACTGATTTGCTGTCATCTATAACTGAATCTGTCTCAGATTTCCATCTACCTTACTTCTGATGCAATATTTGTGCACAGCAAAAAAAAAAAAAAAAGGAGGCGAGGGAGAAGGGCCTCCATGATATCCAGCAACACCTATTCATGACTTCATGGACGGCTTAAAACGAGGCGAGAAAGGAGAGCACGCAGAGCTTTTTACAATCACCTAATAACTCCATTACACTGAGCTGTGGGGCTGACGGAAACGAAAAAAAAATCCCCTATTCCTTTTCCTGGAAGCGGCGTCTTAATGCACATTTTAGGTGTAGAAGTGAGAAATGTGAAACCAAAGAGAATGAAACACAATAGCTCAGAAAACCCCGTGGCAATGTAACAATATTGCCAGAAAATTAAACATTAGGAGAAAAGGACAAGAGCATTTTGGGGAGGCATAATATTGTTATGACTCTTTTTTTTTTTTTTTTTTTACACACCAGGCTGTCAACACCTGATTTAGGATTAATGTAGTAAATATGTAACATTTTCACAGTCCTGGGTCATGAACTGTTTATAATTCATGTAAATGATCTATGTATTGTACTTGAGATAATGAAAAATATACTATTTGTCGATGATACAAACATTTTTTTTTTTGTGTGTTGGAGATGACATGGAACAACTGTTAAAGGATGTAACTGATGAATTAAACAAACTTAAAATGTGTTTTGATGAAAATAATCTGCCCTTGAGCCGAAACAAAACAAAAATAATGTTATTTGGGAACTGTCGATCCCAAACAGGAATTCAAATACAAATAGGTGGAGTGAATATTGAAAGAGTTCACGAAAACAAATTTCTATGTGTCATTATTGATGATAAACTCATCTGGAAACTACACATCAGATATGTTCAAAGTAAAGTCTCAAGAAATATTGCCCTCTTAAAAAAAAAGTCAAGTCGGTCATAGAATAAAAACTGTTCACTAATCTGACCTTATTTAAGTTATTGTGCAGAAATCTGGGGCAATAATTATAAAACTACACTACAGGCATTAACTATACTACAAAAAAGAGCAATAAGAATAATCCATAGAAGGCACAAATACACTATTTTTAAATCCAAATTATTAAAGTTTATTGATAAAGTGAAACTTCAGGCAGCTCTAATTCTTTACAAAGCCAAAAATAAACAGTTACCGGAAAACATTCAATACTTGTTTAAGACTAAGGAGCAAATTTATAAGTTAAGAGGGGAATCATAGTTTAAAATATGCAAATTCAGAACTACTAGAAAAAACTTTTGTGTATCATTAAGTAGAGTCAAACTGTGGAATATTTTGAATATTGAATTTAGACAATGTCCAAACATGAAACTGTTCAAATTCTCATATAAACATATGATTATTGCTGGATATAATGTATATTATTCAATTATTGTTGATGCTTTTGTTATTGATGCTAGTTTTGATTTATTTAATTTTTTGGTGGCGTTAAATAAATAAAATTTGTTAATCTACTGTAGTTAACCTTGATACTATATTGCTGGGTTAAATCTGAGTTTAGTTGTTATATGTATGGATTATACATGTAATAAATGTAAGATTATGTAAGTGGGTAAGGAGTGGGAATTTGATAAGTTTATACTTCTACCCATTCCCTTGAATGTGTAAAACAAAAAAGTTTAAACGTTATGCTTCATGCTGTATTTTATTTTATTAAATGTTCAAAAAATAATAAACTAAACTAACTACATTTGCATATTACAGCGTGTCAAATAGGTCGTCTACTGCAGGAAAGGATTTTTATTTTTTGATCAGCAAAACAAATTCTTGCAAAACAAATTAGTGGCTTATATGCATTAACTGATAAAATAATTAAAACTTTTATCATTTTGTTGCAGGTGATTCTTTTGATAATGTGCATTTTAAGCTTCTTATCACTCAAGGTTCATTTTCTTTAGAGCTCCTTCCCATAAGATCCTAATGCATTTATCAACTATTAAAAAATAATTTTTTTTCTAGTAAACAGTGTTTGTTTAGCCAATTTTACGTTTATCCTAAATATTTATTGCACGCTGAGATTTACAGTTTTTACCCTTACTCTCAGCACGCCTCACGTTATATGCCGGCATCAAAGTAAATTAGTGGGAAAGAGGAAAACTTCAGGTAATTGTCATTGATTTCTGCGACAGAAACCCACAGCAAGACTTCCCAGTTTCACACAAGTGCAGAAAATGACGGGCATGACACAAGTGACCATACGGAGTGAGGGACTTTTATTGTACACATGTATCAGTGTGATGCTTTTGGATGATGGTCAATATCTCTGTTGCTCAGAGCCTGGCCATATTGTGCAGGTCTTGCATCATTGATTGAGCCATGCAGGAGGTAATTAGACTGGAGCTTGGTGGTGCGAGTAGAGGTTGTGGTGGCATGGTGTCACTACAGGGTGTTACGCATGTTGTGACACTACAGAGGGTGGCTTGAAGGCCGGTAAAGGCATGCTGTTAGGTCTGGGGGTCAATACTGATGCTGATTTCCTGTTTTTCTGACGGCTGTCCTGTTGTGGATGTTCCATTTTCCTTCAGAGTGCCTTCAGTCTCCCTCCTCCTCACCACAGGCTGGTTTTGCCTCTTTTTTCCCTCCTATGAGAGTGAGAATTTAACTCGCCATGATCAATATTTAGTATCCCATGCGTGAAACAGGCAGATGTTTGGAGTTTCCTTTTTCAGAAACGGGAAGCTTCTGTTGAGTGAAGGGGATCAATGCTTCCTTCCGTCTGTGAAGCTGCAGACCCACGGCCTCTGAACGATGGCTGATGTGATTTCTGCCCACCCTTGGGCCCCTGAGACTCGCGTGCCTCCCTGGCCTCTCGTGTTCTGTTAGCCCGTGATGCAGACACTCGCACAGACAAGTGTGCAGTCCAAACAGTTGTCTCGAAGAGGAAGAGGTCTGGATGTTAAACAACGGGGCTGTGATTGGGAATTGATTTGTTCATTTGCCAACTGTGTGAGTGAGAGTGAGTCGGTGGTGCCTAGCCAGCTATCTGCCATCCACAATAACTTCTTTCTCTTCTCTCTCGCTCTCTGTTCCCTCCCACAGCACCTGCAGCAGCACGAAAACGCGGTGGAGGGTGATGCCTGCTACTACCACTGCGTGCTGTGCAACTACTCGACCAAGGCCAAGCTCAACCTCATCCAACATGTGCGCTCCATGAAGCACCAACGCAGCGAGAGCCTCCGGAAGCTCCAGCGCTTGCAGAAAGGCCTGCCAGAAGAGGAGGACGACCTCAGCTCCATCTTCACCATCCGCAAATGCCCTACTTCAGATACAGGTCAGAGCGTGATTCCCCCAGGCGTTTTATGTGTGTATGCCTTTTTTATTTACTCGTTCTGTCTGTTATACACATGATCTCTCATCCGTTGGTTCAGCTGAAAGCTTTACGTGCACCGGCTGTCAAAATTTACATTCTTAATGAATTCGTGACTAACCTTGTTTTTTTTTTATTTACTTTATCGTAAAGTTAATATCATCATCGGTAAATCAAATCCAACTCCAAAAACAAAGCATTATTTTAAAAGGTTTTTATGCATCGCTCCTTTTCCACGTTTTGTTGATCCGCTCACTTGTTTGTTTGGATATTCCTGCTTTTAAGCAACATTAAGCGTTCCTTTTACATTAATTGACGCAAGTGACAAAATGGGCAATATGCACGTAACATTTCTTTTTAGAAATTTTGTCCCAAATATGATTTGCATGCAGTTCTGATGTCCCCGTTAATGGAAGCTGCTTGGTTTTGGCCATTAAAGGCACACTGAGGAGCATTAATTCCACCGGAGGAGGAGCTGAACAACAGCAGCAGAACACCAAAAAGCAGCATGGCTGAAACAAAGTGCCACCACTGTCCATTTATTATGGGCTGATTAGGAAGAGTGAGCTGTGGTCAATTAACACGCTTTCTTAGTAGAGATTTGGTTTTCTAATCACTTTAACTTCTGTGCCTTGACAAAGGGCCTCTATTGTGTGTCTGTCCAAGAAGAAACCATTACTTCCCTCACACACATACTCGCTGTCTGTGTTATGTGGTTGGAAAAAAAAAAAAAAAAGGCCAGCCTGTGAAGACGCTTTGTTCCAAGGAGGCAAGGATAATGAAGCCAGCGGCTGGGAAATTGCGCAAAAGGCAGTTACAGATCTGAAGCAAATCATTAGAGAACATATTTAGCTGAGCAATTAGGGACAATTAAGCTTTCTGCTCACTGCACTCCAAATATGTTAATGACTACAGTACAGTGGACAAGCGAACATGCGAAGGCAAGAGGAAGGGCCATTTAGGTTAAAAGGGATGGGGGTTGGGATGTTTTTCTGCTCCTTTTTTTTTCTTGTTCGAGATAAAGGCTTTTGTTGTTTGCAAATGTTCTTCATTAAAGTTGTTTTTACTAAAGAATAGATTTTTTTCTTAGTGCTTTTTTTATGTTTTGAAACATTTATTGTTTGCATGCACGAGTCATCCCAGATTTAACCAGTGTGCCCTCACAGTGGGTTTATGTGTGAGCACTATCACCCCCCCCCCCCCCACACACACACACACACACACACACATACAAAGGCTCGCTTCCCTGCAGAACTTTATCAAATTACGCAAACACTCACTTACTTGAGCAGACCACTGCTCTCTAACAGAATCTTTATAATTCTGAGGGTTCCTTCTCTGCAGCATAAAATAACTGTTGTGCTCAGAAATTCCAACTTATTTCTCAAATTACACCTGATTATGATCCATAATTGTTTATTCATTTTTTTTTCTGCAGCGTCTGCATTTGTTTATAAGAACATGGAATAAGCATCATAACCCAATCACCACAAAAACATAATTTATTTATTTTTACAATCCTCATAACTGCCAACTCAACATATCATTTTTTTTGCCATTTCACACCCGTGCTGGTCAGCGTTATAACCCATCCCTCAGTTTGTATCACTTTTTGACTGGTTCTGTTTTCCTCAGTAGTTCTTCTGTGGTACCAGCTACAGGTTTTTGCATAGTTCAGTAATGGTTTCTACCATATTTTTTGGCCTCTAAGTCACAGTTTCTTGCATAATTCGCATGCCCTGCGACTTATACACTGAAGCAACTTATTTATGTTTTTTTCCTCCATATTTATGAACCAATTTTTGGTTGAGATATGACCGTTTTCATTCATTCTGACTGAAAATATTGAACACTAAGGATGGAAGATGAAACGTTTCTCCCTTAAAGAAACTGGCTCAGATGAAATGATTTAACTTTTTTGGATGATTAAGCCTAGAAACCTTTTTTATTGAACACTACCATTTTCAGATGGCACTCAACTAGTATGGCAGGCCGTTGTGTATGTAATAGGTAAAAGTGGCTATTAATGACACAATCAGATTGCCATAGGCTTCCACCTTTGTCCAGCTCATTTGACTACTACGCAACTAATTTGACTGTTAAAGTGTATTTATTAAGTAAAAGTTCAACTGGGATACAACTTTGCTATGAAGTCAAGCAAACAAATAATTGTTTTAGGTGTTAATCTTGTTAAATTTTGAAGAAATGCACAGCGACTTATCCCTTTGGGCGCTCCTGCTTCTGCAAGTCGGGTTTTGAAATGCAGCTGATTTGACCATCAAAGTGCATTTATTAAGTAAAAGTTAGACTGAGACACACTTTTGCTATTATTTGGAGAAAACAAATAATTGCTTTTAATTGTTAGTCTTAATGAATTCTTGTTAAAATCCTCCCGTGCATGATCTTGCGGCCGCTATTTGGCAGCCAATTGATTTTAGGCACAACACCGGCCCACATTTCCAGTTTGTCAGCGGTGAGGCAAAATAGATGCGACTTATATGGCAAAGTGACATATTTATGGATTTTTATTTATTTATTAATTAAGTAATTATTTTGATTTTATCCTCAAATGGTGTCCCCATTGAGTTTGTTCATTCCTATAAATATTTGTGTATCTTGGTCGGCTCGCATTTCTCTTTAAAGCTCCATGTGGAAAACCTGGTAAAGAAACTAAAAGTTAAACTGGGTTTCTTTTTCAGAAACAGATCCTGTCTAACCTTGAATGCTAGGAAACACCTTGTGTCTGTGACTTTCCTTCCCTCCATTGATTACGGTGACATTATTTACACGAACGCTCCTTTTTTTCATTCAACCTTTATTTAGACAGGTAGATCCCATTGAGCCTCGAGGACTCATTTACAAGAGAGACCTGATTTCAACAAAGAAAGATGACAACAATGGACAACAGCGACAACAATAGACAGTTATAAAAAGGCATACCGATTATTATTATTATTTTTTTTAACAAATAAGATTGCAAAAATGTAACAAAAAACAGCCCCTACAAGAACCCTGCAGATGTTGGATGATGCAGATGTTGGATGCTGTCTATCATGGTGCACCAAGATTCATAACTGGCTGTGATTATCGTACCCACCACTGCACCCAGTATTCACTGGTTAACTGGTCATCATTAATTTCACACAGACCCTCTCACTGGTACATTTTCATCTTTAAATCACTTCTTGGTCTGTTGCCTTCATACATCTCCTCCTACATGTCTCTGCGTGAGTGCAGCTACAGCGTGCACTCTCAGGACATTATTACCTGCAGTGTTCCCTCAGTGAGAACTGAACTAGACAAAAGGGCCTTCTCCTACTCTGCTCCTGTTTCCTGGAATATCTTGTAAAAAGATCTGAAGCTCTCGACCTTTGACCTCTCTAAGTGGCTTTAAGCATCTGTTGGACTCCTGGCAGGGACCAATGCAGACATGTTCCTGTTTTTAGTTTTCTACAGTCGCCTTATGATCTAGCTGTTTTTTGTTACTTTATTGTTGCCATCTTAGTTGTAAAAAATAATAATAATAATCTGTATGCCCTTTTATAACTGTCTATTGTTGTCATCATTCGTTGTTGAAACCAGGTCTCTCTTGTAAATGAGTCCTCGAGGGTCAATGGGATTAACCTGTATAAATAAAGGATGAAAAAAAAAGACATATTTAGATTGATGTGACTTGGTGCGACGTGTACGGCAGAAAATACGGTATCTATCTAAAATGGTTTCAGAACATTCTCTAGTTTGCTAAACAAAGTTGGCCCTGGACTTGTAGGTCACCCAGACTGTAAGTTTGCCTCCTGCTGTGGTCATGAATTTGTTTCTCAACAGGTTAAGACATTGAGCTTATATTCTATATTTGTATTTTTTTCCAAATACATAAAATTTGCATCTTCGATCCCCGCTCAGAAAAGCTCACAAATCAGATCCAACATGTTGTTGGATTTTAGTAATAAATAAAATGAACCCCCACCATTTTTTTTTTTAAACAAACATTTAATGTTTCACTACTTTGCATATCAGCGTTTCTTGCGAGAATCCTGTAAGTACAATCTGCAGGGATTTGGTGCCGCAAACCTCCTCAGGGTTGAAAGTCTGAGGAGAGCAAGGGCAGCAGAAATTAAGTTTCTCCTTAATTAGACCATACAAGGACAAAAAGGCCTGCATTGTTTTAATTTGTGCTCATCGTATAAATGTGCTGCTTAGGCATGTTGCCCTGTGGCCCCACCTCCATTTGTCTTCTTTAACCCTTTATCTGTGGAGAAACAAAGGGGGTCTCAGAGGGACCCCTCACACATCTGCTGTGTGCAGAGATCAATAGATAAAACTCAGCTTTGACTTAAACCAGTGCACCAATGTTGACTGGTAGTTTTAAGAACAGCAACTTCTTGCCAAGCAGAAGATGTTTGCAAAATCAGGTGACGTGACACAGAAGGCAGGGCGTGAATATTCACTTTTGATCAAAGGTGGTTTGACAGTAAAAGAGCAAAATATATTTAGTTTTATAGGTAAAATAATGTGACCTTACAGGGGTTGATGACAACAATAGGCTTCATGTGCTCCAAACAGAATCGGGCACAGACGGTGATGGAGGAGTCAGAAACTGATCGGAAAACAAGTTTGGGGAGCTCTCGTGTTAGATTTATTGTGGCACTTGAGTATAAGATGACCCTGTTTCTTTTGAATGATGTTCATCAGGGCATAAAACTCAGTGACACATTGAGGTTCCTCTTTTTTGAATATTTAATCATCTCAAGCCATTTTCTGATCTTAACCATTTTTTTTTTTCCCTGTATAAAGAACAGAATGAGAGCATGACTTTAAAAAGGACATAACTGGAGAGTGGGTGCAGTTCTGAGGAGAAATGTTTGCTTTGTGCCTGAAAGACTACGAGGGAAGAACAAGAAAACAGTAGCAAAGCATTTGAGAATAGCAAAATATACAGTAGTATTTTTTTTTTTTCAGTGGTG